TTTATAGTTATTTTTCACTTTTTCTCTATTTGTTTCGTTATCTGTGTGTCTCTACCTCCGTTTGTCCTCGTGTGTGTGTGTTCCTTTCCATCTGGTCTCATTCCATCTTCTCGTCTACCCTCTTCCTTCTCACGCCCCTTCCCTCCCCTCTCACTCCCCTTCTTCCCTCCCCTCTCACTCCCCTTCTTCCCTCCCCTCTCACTCCTCTTCTTCCATCCTTCTCACTACCTTCCTTCCCTCCCCTCTCGCTTCTCTTCTTCCCTTCCCCCTTTTCCCTCTCACTTCTCTTCTTTCCTTCCTCCTCTTCCCTCTCACTTCCCTCTCCATTTGAAACCTTCAATTACTACCTTGGACTCAGTCTGGTAATCTCACTTCCCACACCCACGTTCTTCTGAACCTCCTCCCCCGCTCCGCCGCCTCGCTAAAGCTGGCTAAGTACCTCCCAACCCGTCTCCAAAATGCCTCCCATCTCCCAGGCCGCCTCCAAAATGCCTCCCGTCTCTCAGCCCCCCTCCAAAACACCTCTCCGTCTCCCAGTTCGACAGCACAGCCTCTTACACTCTTCATCGTGGATTCTCCAACTGCTGTCTCCAACAATGTCTCCTGTGTGATTTAAATCTTCATTTCCTAAAAAATTCCGACATAAAATATCTTTCGTCTTGTTTACCCGGTATTTGTCACAAAAATATTCAGCCGTATAAATATCTCCAGTACTATCCCAGTCTCCAATGATCTCCAAGACTTCTTTCTTCTTCGACACACGGCGGAGTCTCCTACTACACTACTAGCGATAATATCACCTATGCAGTCTCATGGCTCAGTTGTTATCTCTTAGACACCTTCTGTCTCTGTCTCCTAAGCTTATGAAGTCTCCAAATATATCCAAAACATCACCGGTCTACTTAACTACGAGAGTCTCCAATGATCTCCCGTCTGCCAGTTATATCTCCAAGGCTTCCCCACTCCAGCGAGAGACACACCATAATAACTGTGGTCTCTTCCCTCACTACCGTCTCAAACTGTCTCTTTCGTCTCTGTCACATCTCATGGTGAAATCTCCAAAGCATCTTCAATCTCCTATAGCCTCAGTAATATCTCCAACATACCTAAGATCTCTTCACCCCTGTAGCTCTGTCTCTCTCCAGCAACAGTAACTATCTCTTACGACTCTTACGACTCTTCACAGTGAAATCTTGCGAGACGATTTTAATTTCCTGTGGCGTTAATGTCTCCATTAATCTCCAACACGGCAATCTCCTCCTCCTACTAGCGTCTCCAAGTACTGCATCTCCTACGTTTCCTCTTGTTTCTCAGGACCAAGAGTCTCTAATGATGCACTTAAACTGTACAAGTGTCTCATTAATCTGTGAGACACTTTTCATGAGTGTATTGTCAACTTCAGTATATTGTGTACCTAACCTAACCTAACCTAACCTAACCTAACCTCTACCCCTGTTTGTATCTCCCACTCTTGTCTCCTAGGTACAGTGAGTCAGCAAGATATGTCTTAATCTCCAACACACCTTCGTCTCCAACAAATCTCCAAATAAAGAAAGACCATCTCCACCCTCTTTGCTACATACATACATTACCACACCAATATCTCCAACAAATCTCCAACACACCTTCGTCTCCAACAAATCTCCAACACAGTTTGAGTCTCCATCTATTACAACTTCTCCTACGGCTCTCATAAGTAAACTTTAAACGATGGTTCTATTTTAAGCCACGCCAGCCTCCAGGAATAACCGAGGAGGAGGAGGAGGAGGAGGAGGAGCGAGAGGAGGAGGAGGAGGAGGAGGAGCGAGAGGAGGAGGAGGAGGAGCGAGGAGGAGGAGGAGGAGGAGGAGGAGGAGGAGCGGAGGAGGAGGAGGAACAAGGGAGGAGGGAGAGGAGGAGGAGGAGGAGGAGGAGAGGAGGAGGAACAAGAGGAGGAGAGAGGAGGAGCGAGAGGAGGGAGGAGGAGGAGAGGAGGAGGAACAAGAGGAGGAGGAGAGAGGAGGAGGAGGAAAGAGGAGGAGGAGGAGCGAGAGGAGGAGGAGCAAGAGGAGGAGGAGAAGGAAGAGAAAGAGGGGGAGGAGGAGGAGGAGGAGGAAGGAAAACTTTACCACGTATAACGTTGTATTCCCTCAAAACTACTTAACTTCTTCTTGTTATTGTTCTTCATCTTTTAGCTGAACCAAAAGTATAAAATATACATGGTCATAATAATTTAACTGAAAATATATTTGGTCATTTACTTCCAAGAGATAATAATTCAATTCTCTTTCACTCTGTTTCTGTTCATTACGATCACTGTTACCACCACCACCACCACCACTACCACTAATACACTATCACTGTTACCACCACCACCACTACTACCACTAATACACTGTCACTGTTTACCACCACCACCACCACCACCACCACCACCACCACCACCACCACCACCACCACTACCACCTAATACACTCTCACTGTTACCACCACTACCACCACCACCACCACCACTACCACTAATACACTATCACTGTTACCAGCACCACCACCACCACTAATACATAAGAACATAAGAATGGAGGAAACTGCAGCGGGCCTATTGGCCCATACTGGGCAGTCCCATTTACATCCAACCCCTATTGCTTATATAATCATCCAACCTATGTTTGAAGCTATCCAGCGTATTCGAGTTAATGGGGATATCTGGTAACTTGTTCCATTCATCCACTACTCTGTTTCCAAACCAGTGTTTACTTATTTCGCGCCTAAATCTAAATTTGTCTAATTTAAAACCAATGTTACGAGTTCGCTCCTGGTTGGATAGTTTGAGTACCTTTGTAATGTCCCCTTTGTTTAACCCTGACTTCCATTTATACACCTCTATCATATCGCCCCTCGCTCTACGTCTCTCGAGGGAATGCAAATTAAGATGCTTTAACCTGTCTCTGTACTCGAGGTTCCTAATGCCCGGGATTAGTCTTGTCATTCTCCTCTGGATTCTTTCCAAGGATTCTATATCCATTCTGTAATACGGTGACCAGAACTGAACTGCGTAATCCAAGTGAGGTCTCACAAGCTCAAGATATAGTTTTAGGATGACCTCGCTAGTCTTGTAACTAACACTCGTTTGTATGAACCCAAGTACTTTATTAGCCTTGTTACGAGCAAAAACACATTGTTTACTTGGCTTAAGGTTCCTACTTATCATTACTCCTAAATCTCTGTCGCAGTCGGATTTCTCAATAACATCGTTGTTCATCTGGTATCTGGTTTCCCTGTTTACATCTCCTATACTGAGTACTTTACATTTGTCCACATTGAATTTCATCTGCCATTTTTCAGACCATTCGAATTTTTTTTTAGATCTTCCTGTAGACAGAGCTAAACATTTCTATCATTAATCTATTATCACCATCTGTCACACACACCCTGAATTATTATCCATCTGTCTATCTTAATCTTTCATCCAGTCATTCCCCTTTGTTTTATTAATTATCTCCCCCTCCTCCATTTACTCACTCTCCCTCACGTTCTTACCAGCTCTCTGTCTCTTCCTCTTAATTATCTGTTCTTGTTGATTTTGCTCTATTTCCCGTGTTTATTCCTTATTGTACATCCTCCTTATTTTTGAACTCTTGCTAATTGTTGTTCACTCATCTGTATCTTTATTCAGTCTTCCTCATCTTTATTAACAAACTCTTATCGTTCTTCATGCTGTTTTAATATCATATGAAAGAGTGAATGAATGATAATAATAATGATAAAAATAATTATATAATCCTATTACTACTAACAACAACAATAACAACAAAAAAAATAACAACAATAGCAACAATAACATAAAAACAGTAACAACAATAAAAAAAATAACAGTAACAACAATAACAATAACAACAACAATAACAACAGCAATAACATCAATAACAATACAACAATAACAATCGTCAAAATCAAAACTAATAAAAATATCGACATAACCCTCGAGTCTCCTGCCATCAGAGTCAAATTATTTAAACTCAATCAACCATAAAATACTTGACATTTCTTCATCATTGTCTTTTTTTTCTTTGCCTCTTACCTGTACTGATGAGAGACAGACTAACAATAGTGGAACAATGCCTCTGTCTCCGTGAAGTGGAGATTGGTTACTTCTATTGTTTTCTGCCTCACTAGATAATATGACGTCTTCCTTACACTCTCACCAAGCACGTACTGATGTGTTATCTTGACCCCTTGTGGCTCTGTGTCTCTCGTTCTCTGTCTCTCTCTCTCTCTCTCTCTCTCTCTCTCTGTCTCTGTCTCTCCCGTCCATATAATACCTCACACTTTCCCTGCCTGAGAGAGAGAGAGAGAGAGAGAGAGAGTCAGTCGTCAGGGTAGGAACAGTCAAGATGTGTTGGTCTCTTGGCATTCCTCTCAACCCCCGGCCATTGTAGTCATTCAGAGTCCCGCTTGTTAAGATAACTTTCCTCCCTGCTTGCTGGCCACCGTCCACACACACACACACACACACACACACACACACACAGAGGACAGCACCGACCATCACACACACACACACACACACAGAGGACAGCACCGACCATCACACACACACACACACACACACACACACACAGAGGACAGCACCGACCATCACACACACACACACACACACAGAGGACAGCACCGACCATCACACACACACACACACACACACACACACACAGAGGACAGCACCGACCATCACACACACACACACACACACACACAGAGGACAGCACCGACCATCACACACACACACACACACACAGAGGACAGCACCGACCATCACACACACACACACACACACACACACAGAGGAGCACCGACCATCACACACACACACACACACACACAGAGGACAGCACCACACACACACACACACACACAGAGGACAGCGCCGAACATCACACACACCTCTGCTCCGGCTCCACCCTATCTCTTCCCCCTCTGCCTCACTGGCTCCCACTCCTCTCTCCCGGGTCTGCTAGCTCCTACCCTCCCCGCTCCCCCCACCAGGCAGTAGGGCTCCCGCTCTCCCACACTCTCCCTCGCTCTCACAGCCAGTTGCTGCAGCATCCTCATTCGGCCTCTTGCCACCACCGTGTTCGGAACGCTGTAGTCTTCTCTCTCACGTCCTGACCCAATCCAGTGCCTAACAATAGTCGGATTTGAGGTGATGGTTTAAGACAATGTGTTCGTCAGTAACTAGTGTCTGTCAAGTGTACAAAATATTATAATGGCTGTCCATGCCGTCAGTGGGGGTGTTTTGTAGTGGTGGGGGGGCGTGTGTGTGTCTCTGTTTGACGAAGACTGAGAATTCCCTGGAAATCACTGTGTTTATTCTTGATGCAAACGGATAAAGGAAAAGCAGTGTTATTGTGTGTGTGTTTAGTCACTAATGTGTATTTATATCATTTTATAATTAATGGGATGGACGATAATCAGTGAAAAATCTCCCACTTTAGTGAAATGTTTTGGTGTTTATGTGGATTCTTGAGTGTTGAGAACGATCTGTAAATTGGAATCGTTGAGGGGAAATTCGCCAGCGCAGTGGAAACGCCTTTGTGTTAGTAGAACAGAGCCCAGGTGAAAGGTGCTGTGCAGTTTCAGTAACCAGGATGAATATAAAATAAAATAGAATAAAAATACTGCACTTAGATGATGTTTTGTAACCCTAAAAAGCAGAGTTTATCAAAGAGACAGAAACTCAGTGTGGTACAACCTCTCGTAACTGGTGATGCATCTTAAAGTGTTTGTTTACCATGCATCTGAAACACCAGGAGATATATGTAGTAATACGCCTGTGTTTATGTGCAGTTGTAATGGGTATCTATTCATTACACCTCGTACACCTACTGGCGGGCGAGACAACGGGGAGGAGACAAAAGTATCACTCACTTCACGATAATCAGTCTTATACGACACTGGTTTATACTCAGGTATCACACAGGTATAACAGGTGATCTAATGAAGTATCTTACACCCATTTTATCATCTTTTCCAGGTAAATTAAGAAACACAATAATATTTCTCATATCAATTTAAGAGATATAACTTTATATATTACGTTATACAGTACTATTTATCTTTACATATAACAGCATATCGTAATAATAGTGGAAAGTCCATAAGAAACGTTATTTTTTTTTACTCACGCGACTGGCAGGAGACTACGTGTACGGGATGTCAACAATGCCCTCGTGACCATATGCCCGGGAGATTATCATTGACCTATACAGTGATAGGTCAGTGTGTAGCGACAGTATATAACAGCTTTAAAGAAGCCTTGTGACCTACATAACGAGGTGGCAAACTACAGTAACAGGGAACAAGTCTTTAAATACTCTGTAAAACTTATCCTGTAATGTTTATTATTATGATGAAAACACACTTAGCATGAATACAACAACAACAACAACAACAACAACAACAACAACAACAACATCACCAACACCACCACCAACAACAACAACAGCAACAACAACACCACCAACAACAACAACACCACCACCACCACCACCAACAACAACAACAACACCACCAACAACAACACCAACACCAACAACAACACAACAACAACAACAACACAACAACAACAACACAACAACAACAACAACAACAACAAGTATAGCACTGAAAAAGGAACAGTATCAATTGCCCTGTGCTGAAGCCGTAGGTCACATTATGTGTACTGCAACGGTAGGAATGTACACATGTACGTCAACAGTACATACCACCAGTAAGACCTACACACAGGACACACCTTGTATACTTTAGTTGACACACTGATGTACACAAACAATGGGCCACACCTAGTAAACACCCCACTAAGAATGTATACATGTAAACAAAACACTGGACGTAACAACAGGTGTGTACACTTCACTACAACAGGTGTGTACACTTCACTACAACAGGTGTGTACACTTCACTACAACAGGTGTCTACACTTCACTACAACAGGTGTGTACACTTCACTACAACAGGTGTGTACACTTCACTACAACAGGTGTGTACACTTCACTACAACAGGCGTGTACACTTCACTACAACAGGTGTGTACACTTCACTACAACAGGTGTGTACACTTCACTACAACAGGTGTGTACACTTCACTACAACAGGTGTGTACACTTCACTACAACAGGTGTGTACACTTCACTACAACAGGTGTGTACACTTCACTACAACACAGCACTTCACTACAAACAGTGTGTACACTTCACTACAACAAGACACTTACAACGTACACTTCACTACACAGGTGTGTACACTTCACACAACAGGTGTGTACACTTCACTACGTACACTTACTACAACAGGTGTGTACACTTACTACAAATAGGTGAGGCCAACAGGTGTGTACACTTCACTACAACAGGTGTCTACACTTCACTACAACAGGTGTGTACACTTCACTACAACAGGTGTGTACACTTCACCACAACAGGTGTGTACACTTCAATACAACAGGTGTGTACACTTCACTACAACAGGTGTACACTTCACTACAACAGGTGTGTACACTTCACTACAACAGGTGTGTACACTTCACTACAACAGGTGTGTACACTTCACTCACAAACAGGTGCAAAAGCACTCTACTACAACAGGTGTGTACACTTCACTACAACAGGTGTGTACACTTCACAACAGTGTGTGTACACTTACTACAACAGGTGTGTACACTTACTACAACAGGTGTGTACACTCACTACAGCAACAGGTGTGTACACTTCACTACAACAGGTGTAAAAGCACTCTACTACAACAGGTGTGTACACTTTCACTACAACAGGTGTGTACACTTCACTACAACAGGTGTGTACACTTCACTACAACAGGTGTGTACACTTCACTACAACAGGTGTGTACACTTCACTACAACAGGTGTGTACACTTCACTACAACAGGTGTGTACACTTCACTACAACAGGTGTGTACACTTCACTACAACAGGTGTGTACACTTCACTACAGGCAAAAGTACAATGTTGATGACGTATACAATTACGAGAACTAAGATAATATTACTAGGAATTTGGTGGGGTAATCCAAACTATTGAGTGTTAATAGGTAAAAATGTTTGTGATGTAGTTGAGGCAGAAAAAAGATATGAAAAAATAACGATAATTTACATGAGGATGATATTATTTTGGACTTTGTACTTAATGATTACCTAACAACTATTGTGAGCAGCCATATGAGCCCCGGAGTCAAGGCGGTGGCTTATTTGGTGTAGGAACTGACAACAAACTTGTCATGTTTTGTGTACACACCAGTGAGGGGTGACTGGGGTGGAGGGGTGACTGGGGAGGAGGGGTGACTGGGGAGGAGGGGTGACTGGGGAGGAGGGGTGGACTGGGAGGAGGGGGTGACTGGGGAGGAGGGGTGACTGGGGAGAAGGGGTGACTGGGGAGGAGGGGTGACTGGGGAGGAGGGGTGACTGGGGAGGAGGAAGGAACAAAAATGTTATTCCTCAACCATATTATAATCAGTTGTGAAGAGTTGTTGTTATTATTATTTTATTATTATTATATATAATTAATACCAAATAGTTGTTAAATAATGTCTTCACTATTTGTTCTCTTCGTTAACAAATTAATGACGATAATTACAAGGGGTTTGGTCACATAATTCGACTCTCTTTAATGATAACACGAAATATTTAACTCTATGGTACTGACTACATAATAGTAGCCAAAGTTTGATACTTATTATGATAAACACTACTTAAGGCTAATAATTTACGTATACATCAAAGGAAAATGAGCATTATAGACCTTAGGAATTTGTCATTTTAGAATACCTTTTAACTAACAATGTTCACAGGTAAAGGGTGTGTTGTAATGTGCTTGATGGCATCATTTAAGTTATGAATTATGACGATTTACATTACTGGACTAATATATATATATTAACCTTTGTACTTAATGATTACGTTAACAACTGCCTCTTTGCTCTTCTTGATCAATTAAAGATGCAAATTAATGTGTTAAGTGTTCGCAATGGCATCTTCAATCCTTCCCTTCCTCATTGTACACTTGTCTGGCGTCAGTTTTAACAAATTTCTTTCATTTCTTAATTATTATCTTTATCTTTCTTACATTTACCTCAGCAGCCACGTTGTAAAGTAATACTCCAACTGAGGAATTTGTAGTCACCTTTCTAGATTGTTTTACATACCTGGTGTAAGGGATTAGAGCCTCACCATACTGGACCTTAGTGCTGAGTGACCCCCATAGTGGAGTTTAGTGCTGAGTGACCCGCATAGTGGAGTTTAGTGCTGAGTGACCCCCATAGTGGAGTTTAGTGCTGAGTGACCCCCATAGTGGAGTTTAGTGCTGAGTGACCCCCATAGTGGAGTTTAGTGCTGAGTGACCCCCATAGTGGAGTTTAGTGCTGAGTGACCCCCATAGTGGAGTTTAGTGCTGAGTGACCCCCATAGTGGAGTTTAGTGCTGAGTGACCCCATAGTGGAGTTTAGTGCTGAGTGACCCCCAGCAGTGAGTCGCTCCAGTTCACATGAGCTTCAGTTCACATAATTTAGGATTGGGACCCATTAGGACTGGGTTCATTAGGACTGGGTTCATTAGGACTGGGTTCATTAGGACTGGGTTCATTAGGACTGGATTCATTAGGACTGGGTTCATTAGGACTGGACCTATTTGACCAGTCATCCAGTATATGAAACAACCCTGAAAGGTGTGGAATATAGAAACCTTTATGGACATGTTCATTATAATACAAATTTATACCGAACCTAACCTAACTTAACCTAACCTAACCTAACCTAACCTAACCTAACCTAACCTAATCTAACCTAACAACTCTATCGCTTGATGTACTTTAACCTATATACAATAATTATCGCCACTAGTTTATATACACCGATTTATATTAAACTTAACTTTCATTGAAGAATTTGTCGTAGTGGCCTTTGGTTATTATCCACAATAGAAGTATATTGTTATCTAAAATCTTTAATGTTTTTTAAAGCATTTCAGAGAATTTTGTACACAATTTAAATTCTTTCTGCCTCGTGTATTGAAAATATTAATATCTATACCTTTTGATCTTTCTCTTCACTTTTTATTATATTTTTTAAATATGTAAATTTGGTTATTTTGCTTCACTAATATATTAAGATAATTTATATTTATATATTTTTTTTA